TGCGTGAATTTGGAATCTGCGTCAATTTGAAATTCACGCGCGTGAAATTCAAATTAGCCAATCAGAATTTTGTATTCTAACACTCACCCCAAAATTTAATTGGTAAATTTCAAATTGACACAAATTTGATTTTCACGCACAACATTTATATATAAAATAGATATTGAAAGACTCATTAAAGGATACATATATATATGTTTTTGAATAATGAATGATAAGAATGGTCACAAAATGTTGTTCCAATAATTACAACACTGCCTTAGAAAAAAAAATAAGGAATTAATGTATGTTGAGCACATTTTTAGTATTAATATTAAGAAAAATATATGATATAAATAATGAAAATAAATTCTCTTTGTAATTTAATATTTTTTTTTCTCCTAATTGTGTAATGTAATATTTATAATTACTATATACATAACAGTGACAATTGCAGAAGAAAGAAAATATAGGCTATTATTATTATTATTTATTATTATTTTTTAATGATTGGTTATTAATGAAGTCTTTCTTTAGCAGATAAAGGAATTAAGTACATTGTCATTTTAAATATAAATATGATATAATTATATAACAATATCTTATAAATCTATTTTTAATCATTTTAATCATTTTAATCATTGTAATTTCATTATAATATTATTAATAAACAAATATTTTATCTGCAATCATATATTTTTTAAATACCTACCTTCTATAATTTTTTATTCATAATTTTTACCATTGTATCAAGAAGTTTACAAAAAAATACCACATTCCACTGTTGGTAAACAAAGTAAATATGTTGCTTTGTGAAAGTTAAAGAACATAATACACTCATCAAAGAAATCAACAAAGGTAGATCAAAATGAAGAGATAGAAGTTGGAGACAATTTACCCACTCTGATTTCAGACATAACAGTTGCAGCAATTGATGAGATTGAAAATCAACTCTGCCAATGCCACATGAAAGTTATATTTATGTCTATAATATACAGTTCATGTTATCAATGAAAATAATAATTAGGGTAAAAGCATTTATAAATGACTAGTTGTTATTTA